CACGACGCTCTTCCGATCTCCCCAAAACCCCAAAACCCCAAAACCCCGAAGGAAACATAGAATTATTGCAAATAAAGGAATTAATATTTTATTTAAGATGTCAACTGTTCCTCAAAGGTAAATTTATATATTTATGTTAAGACTTTAGACCACCTGATACTCCATTATTATCTATGTATATGACAGGATCTTATAACAAAGAAGTCAAGTTTGGTTAATTTAAAAATCCATCTGCATTACCAGTAAGAATAGTCTATAATAAATCTAGGGTCCTTCATCGACTATAAATGATCGCAATAAAAAAGGCTATGAGGAAGTAAATGTGAAACCTATTACCTAAAACAAGCCAGACCTTCAACACTACAATCCAGCTAAATACCTGAAGCCTTTTGAAGATGACAGAATCAACACTATAGAATATAATTCAAGCATCACTAATGACGATATTGGTAACTCCCTGTCATTCAATCGCATTCTTAATAAAAAGAAGGCAGCAGAAGAATTGCGAATAAAAAGCAGCATTGAAGGCATTCCTATGGCAAAGTAAATTGATAGAAACTCTTTTATGTCTCAGAGAAGGAAAGACTACAATGGCTCTGACCAAATGAGAATGTCCAACAATGGAAGACAGATATTCGAAAAGATCTTACAAGTCACCAAGGATGAGAATGACTATTACAATAACCAAAAGGTCTTGACTAAAGATCAGAGTGCTGCAACCCTTTATAAAAGATAGATACCTGAGTATTTCAGAGTACTAGAGAATCCAAGTAAGCTAAATAATGCTTGTTAAATATATCAATTTAGAAAACTAGAAAACTCTAGAAGATTCATCAGTTGATGGAATGGTGTCAATCATCAGTAAGAATTAAGGATGGATAACTGTGTCCCCATCACATTTGGATAGGAAAAACCCAGTTGAAAAGCAGAGTAGTCTGGCTGGGGAATCTACAAAGACTTCTATTTTAACTCCATCTTGGATGAAGATAGACTACTCAAACTCACCCTATTCAGATCCATTGAAAGGCACCATCTAGAAGAATGGAGTACGACAGGAGAACTACCGAACATTTTTAACTGAGAAGGAACAACCTTAGAAAAGTGTTTTTAGCATCGGCGGTTTTAGACACAATGTAGCCACCAAGGAATAAACTGAAAAGAATCAAGCTCCTACTAACGAGCCTAACAGATTTATTGAGTGGAAAGAAGACCCTCCAAAGTAGAGATACGATGATGCTAGAATTACTAATAAAATAGGTTCATTTCATGACAGATCCAATTCTCCTGCTGTTAGATATTGAATTACAAATATAAGGTTTCACTTCTATTAATATTCTTAATAAAATCTAAATTCACAATTACTAATCATTTTTTCTTTAGTTCTTCTTTTGGAATTAAGTTTCTCATTATGCTGTCAATGATGCTCGTAACTGTAATGAATCCTCCAATCACAGTGCACAATCCTACTATAAAACTGTAGAATGTCTTACTATCTCTATTCTTGATCACGCTTATAGGCGACATATCATACTTGACATTGAATGAATTAGACCCTAGGATGATCATGTTTTAATGAGTTGAGGTGTATTAATAGTCCATAGCTTAGAATTCACCATCCTTTCTCTAGATATTTTAAGTGACATCAAGATAATATGCAGAGTAGAAGGCAACCTCCATATTACCGTACATCGTAGGTTGCATTGCAATAGTACCTTTGAGTGATTAATGTTCATAAGAAGCTGCTATCTCCTATAGTTTCTTAGCATCAGACTCATCATGAAAGAATAAGCTTCTAATCTTGTGGGAAAAGTCTATTCTGAATCCATTAGCATTTAGTGCTTCAGTCAGTTAATGATTGTGACCTCCTGTTGTGATAGTGAAGTGCCCTTCTTGTTTATACACTCTAAAATGACCCTATATTCTACAGCCAAGTCTTTGCCTGCGCTTTTCAATTATATCATTGACATCTATTGATCCTTTCTCCTCATGAAGTTCTAATGCTTCATCTCTTATGTTCAGAAGGTATTTATTGATGAAATTGTTCTCTTTATCAGTATGCTTAAACACGTCTTTATATTCAGAGCCAATACTATCACCTCTAGTCATACTTATCAAGTCGCATGGAGTGCCATGAAAATCTATGTCCACATACAAACTAATCTATATACGTATCACTCTGAATATAGTTACCATATTATCAATTGAATTCATTGGGTTGGCTATGGCGAGTTCTCTGCTCTCATTGAACTGCATGTACTTGGCGAATTCATACACAAGTAGTAAAGATAAAAGAGTTGAAGAAATCACACTGACTATTCCATAGGATATTAATATAAGAAGAAATGATATTACTTGTAGCGCCTGAGACTGTAGCTTCACTTAGTTCTCTTGGCATCACCCTGTAAAAGTCAAATGATTTAATACAATCAGCAATTGTGTATTTCTTTTTGTCTGCTACTTTTGCCATGTTTTATTGTTTGTAATTAATATATTTATAGACTTTTCGTTGGAAAAAATTAAGTAAACAAATATATCTATAGTTTTTTATTTAAAATATTGATAAAATTCCTTTCAATGGGGTTTTGGGGTTTTGGGGTTTTGGGG